GATGGTGTCGAAATATGGATTTTGCTTCGGTTCAATCTGAACTAACCATGCTTCCTTCGCTTTCTGACATGATGAGTACTCTTTGAACAGAGTAAATGCGTGTTTTTCTTCTTCTGAACATTATTTCTGAAATAAATAAACTTGTTTGTATATCAGCCTATAAATAGACCATGATAAAGTTTTTGTTCTTCTTTGCATTCAAATATTTTTCTTGAGTTACCATCGAAAATCGCACTCTTTGTTATTTCACTTTTCTAAACTTTTCCTCGTGATCCTATTCCTCTAGCTGTATATTTTCTTCCTTTTCCAGATGACTTGTGTTGATGCCTTTTGATCTTCATATTGGTTGGATCCTTACTTCGATGATAGAAGAAGTATATGCACAACTGATGAACTAAGCTGACAGACGTCTGATCAAAAGACAAGTGGTCATATGATAGGCGGTCAAAAAAGAAAAGGCATTTGGAAACTGTGCACAGGTCTGTGAATGAATACGGAGCTACGCGTTCATCTCGAATGGATCATCGAAATGATTTTCACCGGTTATTTCTCTCTGCATGATTCAAAACTCGAAATGAGAAAGTCCGATATGAGATGTTTTCGACAGCCCGGATCGACAAAGCCATGTTCTAATCGACCGACACGGCACATGAGTGACACGGCTCTATTGATAACGAAATTCATCACTTTTGACACGAAATCAGTAGCATGATGATTTGGACGCAAACTAAAACTATCTAGACTATAGCGACTAATCAACACAACAAATTGATGGCACATAAGGTTTTAATAGGAAACTAGTTACACCATCATTCGACACCTTGAAAAACTCCATACTTTACTGAATGAATACGGGAGATACTATAATTCGATGATGAATGACCTACAAACATATGAGAATTATATTCTCCCATGAAGTCAATTCGAGACCGCTCTTTTCCAGAACACATGATTCCCCAACCGACCGATTTTCACCCAGTCATGACCACCGAACGTAAATTCGGCACTTTTCCCACCGATCCATCCAAGCTGAATACTTTCCTCTCCTCTAATCTTTACAACTCGACAATCTTAATCCATGATTCCTCTGATAAAACCATATCACCCTATCTGTTACCAAAAACACACAACATCGGAAAAGCTGTGATCCAAATCAGCTGTTCCGTAACACTACTACAGCCACAAACAAAACAAAAGGCTATCTAAGCTGACACTAGTAGCATGAAACGTAATCACATACAACTCTTTCTTCATCACATTTATTCGTCACCCAACACTTGATGACGAAAAGATTTATAAATCCTTCTGAACGCAACATGTGTAATGGTTTCTCGACTCATCCCCACACCCTCAGGTATCTCTACTTGTTTGGAATAAAATGAATAAACAAGTAAAAAAGCAAAATTAAAGAGTTTCGCAATATTTCTGTCATATTTTTATTACGTGCAAAAGATGAAATATTGATAAAGAAATAGAGTTTGTTAAGCATAAAGCAGGAATATTGTTGAATATTAAATATGAGTCTTTCGAACAGTCTAATGTATTGAACATTCACATGTATTTAAGAAAATATCTATGTAATTAGTACCAATATTTATACTAATTATATCTTGGCAATTATCATTATTGAAATCAGTGACATCATTCCATATTTGATAACTAAAAAGATTATTCGAATGAATAGTTTGTATTTGAAAATCTCCATTTCCATTTCCAAGTAAACCATAGATTTCATATTGAGAAATTGTTCCAATAACGATGTCTAAAGAATTATCACCATTTAAATCACCTACCACTACTGAGTTCAATTGTATGGAAGATTCCATGATTATTTGCTCATTAACATGAAAACTATTATTATTATTTCGGTATAGCATACAGACTATATGTCTCCAACCATAAAGAAAAGCAATATCGATTCGATTATCACTATCAAAGTCACTGGCTACTACCCCAGCATAAATAGCATCGATGGCAGTGAAAAGCCATTTCTGTGGCTGATAACTTCCATTAGTATTGGCATAAAATATATGAATATGGAGACTATTTGTATTCATTATAGCAATATCTAAATGAGTATCATTGTTAAAATCAGCAATAATTAATCCTTGTGAGTTGCTGTTATGTGTTATAAACAATGCTGAATCTAATAGAAATGTTCCATTAATATTCGCCAAGTATATATACACATAGTCTTCAAATTCAATTATAACAATAATGTCCAACATGTTATCATGGTTGAGATCAACTATAGCGATATGTTGAGGAACGCCACTAATGGCTATGGATTGCATATTCTGAGTTTGAAACGTTCCGTTACCATAACCGAATAAAATAGTAACTTCTAGCTCCTGTACTAAAATGAGATCGACTTGACCATCATTGTTCATATCACGAACACGAATATGATATATCCAAGAATAAGTTTCAAAAGAAATTACCATC